GTATTCTTGTCATTCTCATCTTACGCGTGTCAAGTCTCAGCCAGGAAGGAAATTATAAAAGTTATCCGGAAATAAGAAAGAAAGTAGCCGTCTATTTCGCACGGTTTTTCACGAAATGACAGTTTACTTGGTTGTTCGTTCCTTCTCGTTCCACGCTGTTACGAATTAATACAAAACTCGATTAAACTGCTCTCTTGTTGCGCCATTCAATTAATTCGACGTCGGCAAAACAATTGTCGGATAATTACTAACGAGATTTGAATGATTTCGCTCGAGTTCGATTCAACGCGTTCCTTGCCTGTTCCTCCTCTTCTTTCTGTATTTTCTCTCTCTCCCCTTGCCCCTCACGCTTGTCCTTGACCTTGATCGAAGATCAGATTAATTTTGCTATTCCTTCTCTCTCTCTTGAGATAGACTTAATCTCGTTTATACATTTATTTATATATATCTCGTAAATTTATTTCACAGATTATCCCTATTGTTGAGATTATTAGATGTATAAACAGAGAAACGCGTGGTTAAATTGTAAGGTAGAAAAATATATTTTAATACAGAAGTGTAATTACAAGTAAGAATACAATTTGAGCTGGTCCAGACCGCACGATAGTAGTGTTACCCTATAACTGAAAAACCCCAAAGCCAACGTCGCCTGCCTACTGTTTATGGTCTGCCTGCGTCCCAGTCTTTTGTCTATACGCTGTCGATGGCTTCAGTGCTTGAGAAAATTAAAAAGACCGGATGTAGAGTTTTCTTAGAAGTGGTGACCACTTCAACGCCTATTTTCGGTGCAAAAGAATATTTCTTGAAATGGCGGAAAGACCGAGTTTCAAGCGTCAGAGTACGGGCAAAACTGGTGATCGGCAGATAACGAACCAATATGAGTCGCTATCGATCAACTTGGAAAGAATTACAAGCGAAAAGAACGCCGGAAACATTAGGAAGGGAATTAGGCAACGAGACGATGATAAAAGCTGCAAGCCTTATTCCTACTAAGCCTTTTAATCGCTTCGTACGATAGGTCGAATAGGAAGAGAATTCTGTTTTCATGTTTCAAAAGTCGTTAACTACCGTGTTCGAGAAGAGAACAGAAAAAAAGTGCAAAGATCCAAATGTGAAATACAACACAACAGTCTTGTTTTCACACTGTGCGAAACGATTTCATACTAGAAAAGACTCATAAAGGATATAATCTAACTAACACGAAGATGGTACCCCACTGGGGGTAGCCACCCACATGATAATCAAACAGCTAAAAAATTCTACAGAAATGTCCAAATTGGACAAATTGTGAATGTGAAATATTAAATAAAAAAGAAAAAATACTAGAAAAGTGAAAATTCGTACGCTCGAGTGTCGGCGACGAGCGAGGAACGATTCGGAGACTGCGTGTGGAAATTTGGTTGCACGTGGCAAGATTGTCGTCTGCCGCCAAGTACTAATGTGGTACGATCGAGGAGCGAGAGAGTCGTGCTAAAATTGAAATCACTTTGCTATCGTATTATCGTTAGATATAATTCTTGATACTTTATTTTATACGCTACCCAACACAATTCCTACAACACAAATGCTTATACGTTTCTAAAAAGGAAACGAGTTACGATGAAATCGATGAGTTCCGCGTCCCTAGCTCTCGTTAAAACGGTTTAAAGCTAACGATGGAAAAATTGGCTGAAAAAATTAGTTGAAGAAGATAGTAGAAAAGCTCGAAACTCTTGTGCGATTTGCTTGAGACGACGGTGGATTTACCTGGTACGTTCACCTGGAAACAAGGAAGCTCGACGAGCCGGCCTGTCTCTCGTCTTTCTCGAATGAGAAACGCAACAGCAGAAGGGAGCTCGCTAAGTGGCGAAATCGTCCGTTAATTAAATGTTCCTCGGCTGGGTAGCTTCGCCAGTTTAACGCGCGATCCTGGCTGCCACCGCGCCGCGCCACTATTTTAACTTTATGCGCGATTTTAGCACTATGCTCGAACGCTCTTACGTCAACGCACGACCCATGCCAACCGTCGAGCACAAGCACGAAACCAGGTCGTCTTCCAATTAGCGAAAGCGCAAAATGTCGCACTAGCGAGAAAATTCCCTAAGAGTTTACGGCTCGCGGGCTGAAACGGCGTAAGCACGTTGCGTGCATCTCGTGCGCTCCTCGAGAAGAGTATAGCAGCGCGCGTGTAAAATCCCTGTAGGTCAGAACTGACTAATCCAGAGTTCGCGTGGTCCCAATAATTCCACAGATATTTCCTCTTTTAATTAGATTTTTGTGCCATTCGGCTGTTCGAATCGTCCATTCGTTTTACCATTCGTCTTCAAACGAAGTTCTATCATTTGGTCTTATGTACATTAAATTCACCTATCTCTAGAATATCAAGCTTGCAAGAATAAGATGTAACAGTGAATTTCTGTCCCATTTAAACGCCGCCTAAACGATGGTCTTTCAATTCCCAACGTTCGAACACGCGCTAACAAATTGCGGTTTCTTTTATGGGTTTATAGGAAATTTCAGAGTGGAAAATTCCACGGAATATGAAAAAATGTGTGAAATATCGAAAGCATAGTACTTTGACGGTTTAACGATACTTTTCACAATAATTGAACTATATTGTGAAAAATACTAATTTTTTTTAACTACGCGTTAATTATATTAAAAATTCTTTGAAAAATACTCTTTACGTATTCGTAGTTTGATAGTATCGCATATCGAATGTTCCTTCGCGGAATATTTTTTCACACGGTTTTAAAACGAATTATTCTCTCAGTTGGAACAACAAGTAGAAGAACGAAAAGAATAAAGTATTTAAAATTTATAAAATTAATTAATTTTCTGTATAAAATTGGGGAACAGTGGCGCAAAATATCAAATATATAGAAGTTTGTTAAAATACGAGATCAAGTATCGTGTGGTTGCAACAGCAGTGGACACAGTGAAAATCCACTTTAACGTTTCTTTATTCAAGCATCGATAATCCGTTTTGTTCATTGCGTGGATACGCTCGTTGAAACACCATACGTATATTCCATTCACAGCTGTAAATACACGAACGGTGTAATAACGTTATCTGCCTGCAACAGCCAATCTCGAAGCCTCGCCAATGGGACGAATACCTTCGATACTCGATGCAGGTGTATTGTTTTCAAGTAGTTTTGCGTAACAGACTGAACGAAACTACCGGACGTCCTACGTTATCCTACTTTGTTCTTCTAATTCGTACAGTCTCTATAGAACGTTTGCACGACTAGTTCACGGCTGAACTTGTATTATCCGGCGTAATTTTGGCGTAATTTTACAAATCGCAAGTTACCAATTATCAGTGTTAATAACCTTGCACGATCTTGCACGATAATAACGATTCTCTTAACGAAACAGAGATCTACAAATGAATTTTACAATTTTACCATTGCAACATAATATACTTGTCGATTCGCTGGTAATATCAATTAGTAAATTATTATTCATCCGATACGAAGAAGATATAAAAGGTTCGGTGAATGGAAAAAACTGGTGAAAAGAAAAAATGATGTCTGAAATTGCTCGTTAAACAATTGCTTATTTCGTAGTTGACGAAAGCGTAAGATAAAGCCTCAAATCCTCGATAAACATTCGTTAACATTGCCATGCCAGTAATTGCTTCGCTATTCACGATCCTCTTCCCCCGCAAGAAATTCCTTTCCATGCACGAGAGAAGAACGTACTACGCGAACGAGACAGAGTCGATGCGACCACAATCACCGAATTCCTAGGTAAATAATTCAAATACGATAAGGAACGGAACTAATTGAAAAGTTTTTTTTTATTTAATATTTCACATTCACAATTTGTCTAATTTGGACATTTGGTAGAATTTTTTAGCTGTTTGATTATCATGTGGGTGATTACCCCCAATGGGGTACCATCTTCGTGTTTGTTAAGAATATCCTTTGTGAGATCTGCTGGGTGTTTCCTTTTTAGTCTTCTTTCTATTTTGGTGTTGATCGTTTCCACTGCCAGCCAGGTCGGGTGCGTTGCTATTCTTTCTCTGTACCTTCTTGCGAATCTGTTAATCTCTTCCTTGACCGTTGGTATTCCAAGGTCTTTCCTATGTCCTCGTTTCTAACGTACTATGGGACGTTTACAGTTGATCTAAGAATTTTAGCTTGGATTGTCTCTATTTTGCTTATATGGCTCATTGCTGCTGTTCCCCAAAGTGGCATTCCGTACGTCCAAATTGGTTTTACGATTGTTTTGTATATTTTTAGTTTGTTTTCTATGCTTAGTTTGGATTTTCGACTTGTGAACCAATACATTTGTTTCCTTGCTATCTGTATTTTGTCTATTATTCATTTAATATGCTGTTTCCATGTAAATCGTATGTCTAAGTGGAGTCCTAGGTATTTTCTTTTATTTGTTTATTAAAATTACAATCCTCGCATTGAGAATTTTCAGTAATTTTTCTGGCGTGGCGCAGTGACATGGCTGATTATTTATAATAAGTTAATACTTATTATAGATAAGTATAATTTATAAGTAAGTATTATAAATAAGTTTA